CAAGGCCATCTCGGGCAGAACTCAAGGATTGGGCACAGGCCTTGGGCCAACACAATCAAACTGCGTCAGAGCAAACCCAGGGGCTATGCTAATGGCCCCCAGAGGAAGCATTTCTACCTTTCCTGCTGGTTGTAGAAATGAGAGGGTATGAGCAAGGGAGCACAGGAGCTGTTGGACACAACTTGCTACTGGGATGGAGAGACTGTGGGACATGGAGCCAAGAGCCGGACACCCTGGAACACAGCCTGTGGGTATTTGAGCTCCTGGATCACGTAGTGCCTGAAGCTGTTCACACCAGACTTTTTAATATAAGGCCAATAAATTCCTTTTTTGTTTGTTTGTTTCCATTTTGGTAGTTTTTAAGTCAGTTTGGGGTGGGTTTTCTGTTCTTCTTAATAAAGTTTATCTGATAAAAGAACTTGTGGCTTTCTTTGGGCTCACCAGGAGCCAGTCACTGTGTGAGTCTGGGATGCACTGCAGACTTTCCTTGCCTTTCCAGCCTGTCAGTATGGGTGAGATGCAGGGGCACATGGCCAGTCAGGGCAGAGGTGAGCCAGGATGTCCCGCTCTAATACCATCATCCTCTGAAGCACTCGGCAATGTAGACAAAATCTGCCCTAAACCTGAACCTCAGCTCCTACCACCTCATCCCCTGAACCATCTGCTATCCAGGATGCCCATATCTGGCTGAGAGAGCAGAGCAAATTAATGAGGTACCAAGCATCTCTCACCTCAGGGCCCGAGGCCCACTCAGGGGTTCTCAGGGGGACCAACTCCTCTCCCTATGCCCTGTTCTCAAGGATTGGTGAGAGGGCAGAGGGCAGAGCACTCCGGGCTAGCCTTCTCTGGGGGGTAACTGAGGCCGTCCCATTATTTGTTTGGGCACGTACAGCTGCCAGGGGCTGGATGAGCTCAGAATCCCGGAGGGCTTTCATGCTGCCTTGGGAGGAACAGGAGTGCACTTAATTCTCCTGCCTTGTTAGGCAGCATCTCCATTTTTTCTGATAAACAGAGACTCAGAGAGAGGAGGGGTCTATTTAAGTTCCCATAGCTGGATGGGGCTGGCAGAGTCAGAGATTGCCCCAGACCCACCTCATTCCCAGCTTGTGGATGCTGGCCTGGAACCTCAGTGATGGGGTGCGTTAGTGCCTCCTGTCTGGGAACTGAGGCCGTGCTCTTGGGAGCTGGGAGCAGCAGGTCAGGCTTGTCCCTGAGATGGAAGGTATGGGGGTCTACCAGAACTCCACTTCACTCACTGAACCAGGCTGGAAAGCTGGAGGCCTGGGTCTTGGCTGATGTGGTGGTGGGGGAGTTCTCTGTTCTCAGAGCTTTTATTTTCAGCTTCCCCCAACCCTGGGGGATGGCCTGCTTTGCTGATGATGCTGGATTCCCCACACCAGGGCCTGTCTACCGGCTGGGCTCTGTCGTCATCCCCAGCTCTAGCCAGCTTTGGCTTGTGGGGGCTGGGCACAGGGCGGCCTGCCTGTCACAGGCTGGGGTCCTGCCAAGGCCAGAAAGCCCCTCTGGAGCCCCAAAGAACTCTCTTAGGCACCTGCCTTGTATCAGCTCTCCACCCGCATCTCCTCCTACAACCCTTGGAGCAGGCATCCCCACCCACTGCTTCCGGATGATGAAACCATGCCAGACCGGTGAGGCGAGTGCCCAGGCTGTGCCCAAGGTGGAGAAGGGAGGGCAGCATCCACACCTGACCCCACAGGTTTCCCCCCTCCTCTATAGTCCCTGAAGACTTTCTCCAGGAGGGGCCGGCTACACCCACAGGAGTTCCTTGCCTCCGCATATCTAGGTGACATGAGCTGGCAGTGTCAGAGACCAGGGTAAGAAACAGCCCCGGGAGTCTGGAGATGTCCCAGTAGCGATTTCTCATTCTCTCTACCTCGTGGAGGAAGCAGCCAGCAGCCAGCCAGGACCCTGAGTGTGGGCAGCGCGCACACAGCCTCTGAGCCCTACCAGGCTGAGCAGGTGGAGGTTTCCAGAGAGGTTGGGCTGAGCCCTGCCCCCCTTCCTAGGTTTCCAACTAAGAACAAGGAACTCTGCTGGCCCTGGTCTTCTGGGGTCACACTTAATGGCCAAGAAATTGGCCTGAGTCCCCATCACATACTTTGAGGACTTCCTCTGGGAATTCCCGAGGGTTGTCTTCATGGTTTCCATTCTCTTAATGTCCCTTATGCCTCTCATGCCCCCAACACAATTAGTGACCCCCATTAGTCGGTCTGCCCAAGGCTACTGCCCCTCTCTGCCCCTTCCTTCCCACCTCCAGCCCCTCCAATACTGCTGTGATGTGTTAACAGATGTGTCTCAAACCCATGTGTTTGGGGACAAGGGAGTCGTCACAAAGGCCTTAGTCAGAGCAAGAAACAAGTTATTCCAATTCCTGCTCTCAAACCTTCTACCTGCACTGAGTCTCTCCTGGGGCCGTTTTCTCCCCATGGCCCAGCCTGCTCCCCTGTGCTTAGGCCTTCTTTCTCCCAGACCCTTCTTCCCTGCCTCCTGGTTGCCCAGAGAAAGCTCCTCATTCTTCTGACTTGATTATGTAGAGAAATGTAACATACTTCTGGGCTTCCCGCAATTCTCTGAGCTTCTTTGCCTTAAACCCCAAAAGGCCAGAATGAATTTTTCTAAATAAAACAGTCATCTACCCTGGGCATTTGCTCCTATGAAATGTGGGAACTGTAAGTCACTTTGAAAGCATGATTGTCTTTTATTTGTATCGGGTCAAAATCTTGGGCAGGCCTTCGTCTTCCAGCAATAGGTAAAATCCCTTAAAGGAAGCTGATCTCCCACTCCCACCCGCACCCCTGGACACCATGGGGAGGCAGATCCTGGGGCAGGCATGGTGTCCTGGGACCTGGGGCAGTCCTCCAGCCAGGGCACCAGACAGAGGCGGGGATTTGAGTCAAGGCCACAGGGCAGGAACTGGAAGAGAGAAAGAAGATTCAAGGTCAAAGATGGCAGAGCTTGGAGAAAGCCCCAGAACCAGAACAGGTAGCTAGCTGGGTTTCGCTAGAGACATCCGGTAGATCAGAACACAGGATTAGACCAGGGTGGGGGCTACATTTGAAGAGCTGGTTCTTGAACATGGAAAGAGTTCACCCTGTGGACAAGGTGGGAAACAAAGAACAAAAGACAGGAATTGTTGGGGTCTGGAGAAATACGATGTAGGGGATGGATTTTGTACAGCTCCACACTGACTCAGCTGTTTCATTGTTCTGGAAAAATGAGAAAAGATAAAATCCGCAGCCCAGCTTTAGAAGTCCTATCAGAATTGAAATCCATTGAAAGCGAGGGCTTCCAGATGCCAGGCAGGGTAGTTCCTGACGGCTCCTGGGAAGGCCATGGGAACCGTTCACTGGGCAGGCACCACCGAAAGACATCCAAAGTAGAAACACCTAGAAACACTGAGCCATGCAGACACACACATGGAGGACAAATTCGAGTGGCCACAGTGTCAGTACGATCTCAGTTTTAGCACAGGCTAAGAAGGGCAGTTGTGGGGCTGCGTGCTGGCTGGCTGGCTGGGGAATCATCACTTTTGAAGGTGCTGTGCTTCCCAGATGCTTCCCAGATGCTTGTTGGCCACGACATGTTGTCCTGCCGGGGAGAGCTGAGCTTGGTCGGAAACTAGTGGATCCTTTCTGATGCACCACTTCTGATTTCTGAATTCATGGCTCAGTAGAGTCTACGAGTCTGTGCGTCCATTTGCATTCAGATAACACCCAGGGCATCGTTCTTTCTGCCTGAGACGTACCATCACCACAGCTGTCACCCACAGACATTTATAGAGTCCCCACTCAGGGCTGGACAGAGGTGGGTGGGTCTAATTCATCCCACTTCTTGGAAGAAGTGAGAATTTTCTCACGCCGCCTTTCTTCCCTACCTCGGAACTAGGTATGCTTGTTGCGATGTGAGTGGTGGTTAACTTGGCTGGGAGGGAGCCCGTTTGCCTCCGCTTTCCCCCACATGCTATCTGCTTCCTCTTTCTGCCAACTTGGGATAACAGCTGATACCTCCAGCATCCAGCCAGGACCAGGATATCACTGGAAGATTAGAAGCTCCATGCAAGTTCTTAATGACATCACACCAGCTTCGCACTACCCACCCCCATATTTCTTTTATGTGAGAGAACTGTATTTCTTTTTAAAGCCTTTTTTTTTTTTTTGCTTTTCTATTTGAAGAAGTTGAACATAATACTGATAAGCCTGAATATGTGTGGTTTCTGCCCCACATCCCTTCATTCTGCTTGTAGCCATGCCCCAATTTCCCCCTGGCGGGCCACCTCCAGAACCACATTCAGCCTGTGTCTCTCTACAGGAGTTGACTGACCTGGGACTGAGTAATCAAAGTGGTATGACCCCTTGTGATGGGAATTGCTTGAGTTGGACATCAGCATGTACCCTAAAATTTCCAATCAGAACAGATTCCAGGATTTGCTGAGAAGACTGCCTCAGTGAGGCTCACATATTTCTGTTGGCTTTGTATTTGGATGCCTGAGCCCTGGGAACTCACATTTGTTATTTATGCCCCCCCCCCCCCCGCCGGACAGCTTGCAGAGAAGGAAGCCACATTGAAGAAAACAGAGCTAATAAATGGACAGAGAAGTTTATTCTAGTCACATAATTTTGGCCCTGGATCAAGCTGGGCCTGAAGCCTCCAGACTATTTAGCTATGTGAGCCAATAAATTCCTATTATTTACTTAAATACATCGAGCAAGGATTTTCCTTTCATGTGCAATGAAAAAAGCTCAAATTTGATGATACATTCTTTGAAAAACAAAATAGCATTCCAGTAGGCCAAATATAGGAATTTCAAAGGAAAAGGTACTCTAGTTCACTTCAACACGTGGAATAACACTGGGAAAAAGAGATCAGTTGGCTCCCCTCAGGAGACACTTTGAGTCACGGGACAGGGTGAGCATGTCTGAAGCAAATCTGGGATGGCGGTTCAGGTGACTCCTGTGATGTTTGGGGATCCAGGCAGGAGAGGATGTGTCCCTCTCCACATCACTCTTGCAGGCTACACAAACATCAGCTTCTCAGGCAGTAGGAACTTCTAAGTTGGTGAGGAAACAGCTCTGCCCAGAGCCAGTGGGGAGACTCTGGTGGGAGGACGTAGGCTGAGGAAGGAGACAGGAAGGAGAATTGTCAAACTATACAAAGACTCACCCGTCTGTGCCCCTTGGGGATTTTCCTCTCCCCCAGCAAATATTACCGTCTTTCCCAAAGCTTGGCTCAACTAATACCCTGCTGGTTAATACGGTAATTTTTGGAGGTATGTGAATTAATTTAAAAAAATTTTTCTTTAACCGTTTTGGGTTGTGTAATTTAAAAATCCTGTTTTTTTTTTTCTATTTAAAGTAAGACTATAGTCTCTCCTCCTAAAATACATTGATTAAAAGGAAATATTCGGTCATTTAGCATCGAAAGAGGTACAGCATGTTGGCAAGATTGGGACAGCTGCGAGCTAATGACTGAGGTTTGGGGAAACCATACTGCTTCTTTCAGCTTTGATGGCAGCCCTCGTCTTCTGTGGAGAATATCACACCCATTTCACAGAGAGGACAATGAAGCCCTCAGAGGTGAAAGGCACAGCTTATGTTAGACTTCAGACACCTGGATCTTTCCATTAGCCCCTCCCCTGGTCCTAGGGCACAGGCTACCTCCATGACAAAGCCCGGGAACCAGTTATGGGGAGGGCACGAGACCCCGAACAGCGGGCCCTCACAGAGGGGGCCTGCTGCAGAAAAGAACAAAAAGCCTGACCTTCTTGGGGAACTGCACAATCCTTTGTTTGAACAGTTTCCAGGGAAGCCTAATTAATCCCATTGTTGATGCTAATGCGCTGCTTTTTTAAGACTCAGAGTTGATGCTGCAAGCAAATTTCTTTTTGATTTAAGGCTTTGGAAAGAAGACAGAAGTTTTATCAAACGTGCCTGGATTATGCTGCAGGCTCCGTGCGCCGAGAGATGAAGGCCCACTTAGCTGTGGCAGGGTGGCCAGCCCCCCTAAAAACACCGCTCCTTATGGTGGCCACTTTCCAAAGACCTTTCTCTGTTTGGGTTTTCTTTGGTGAATTTTCACTCTGCTGACTTGTTTTACAAACATATGGATGGAGAGTCAGGCAACCACATAAATTTTGTACCCATGACAGCAAAATGCTTGTAATAATAACAGTAATTACAATGATAGCAATAGCTACCATTTATTTAATTCTTACACATGCGGACATTTAAATATTTGGAAACAGTTGAGATATAAGAAACATTTTCTGAATGCTAATTGTGTGCTGGGCATGCAGAAATGAATTAGACCTAGTATGTAGGGAAGGATGAGGTACAGTCTCACTCCGCAGCAGGCAGGAGATCTTCAGCCCACTGCTGGGGGGCGGGGAGGGACATTGCTGCCATCCCCTGGTTCCCGGGGAATGGGTCTGCACAACCAGGCTCTCGACACAGAGAGTGTGCATCCTAGGACTGGGGACTAACAGAAAGATCAGGGTCTCTGAAGTCAAGTGTAAACTCTGCCTTTTACCTCTCTGGGCTTCACTATCTGCCTTTATAAAATGGAGGAGAACAAGGTTATCATAAAGGTTAAATGAGATAATGTAGTTTTCCCAAACTTCAGTCACTGGCACATAACTATCCCAGTAAGTAAGGAAAGTGGATTCATGGCACTCTGACAAAGTCAAGGAAGGCTTCCCTAAAGTGGGGCCATTGGGACTGGGTTTTGAGGCATGACTAGGAGTACGCTACCTGACCAGTAAGGATAAGGGGCATTCTAAGTCTGGGAAAAGTTTATGCAAAAGATCACAGAGTAGAAGTGCAAAGTCTCATAGCTGTTAAGGGGCAAAACAGGGATTTAAATTTGGGTTTCTTTGACCCCAAAGTCTGGGCTGATGAGCAGCAGGCTATTCTAATGAGGACATAGTATTGGCAGTACTTGAGGAAGAACCCTAGGAAGGACTGAGGTTCCACTCTGGGCAACGAGATGGATGGTGTGGCAGAATCTGCGTGTGCTTACCTTAGTATCTGTTCTCTCCCTCCTCTTCAGGGATAAAACCTCCAGTCTTTGGTTGGATATCTGAAGTAGAGGCTATATTCCTAGCATCTCAGGAGGTAGATGTGGAGTGGGGCTAACTTCCAGACAGTGGGATGGAAGCAAAGGAGTTGTATGGCAGTTTCTGGAAAATATTTTCAAAACATTGATGACCCATTTGCCCCCCTTTCCCTCCTTCCACGTTCCGCTATTTGGAATATGGACCTGATGATTTGAATTTCATCTGGGACCATGAGGCTGAGCACAGTTCCTGGGGGTTGGTGCAGAAGAAAGCTGGAAATAGTTTGCGTCCAAGACCAAGGTGCAGCCACCCTGCCGGCCCTGGATGGCTTATTCTGGACTTGCTGGACGTGAAAGAGAAACACAAGGTCTGTGTCAACTCCCTTGGCTAAGATGTCATGATGCGAAACTTCATCCATCGAGCGGCTCCGGGCTATAAACCGTGAAGTCCCCCTGGACTCCTTTCTTTCACTGCGCATGCGTTCCTGGCAGTTCTGCTTTCAAATATCCAATATCCAAGCATCACCCTGGTCTGAGCCACCATCGCTCTATGCTAGGAGCCTCCTAACGGAGCTTGCTGCCACTACCTCTGACCCCTACAGTCTATTCTCAGCAGAGCAGCCAAGGGGACTCGAAAGGTCGAGCCATCGCGCCCCTCTTCTGCTCAGAGCTCTGCATTACTGCCACCCTTTCAGGGTAAAAACCAAGTCCTTACACGGGCCTTACTCCATCTTCACCTGCTCCCCCTGCCTCTCTGATCTATACCTTTTCAAACTCACTGCACTCCAGCCACGCTGGTCTCCCTGCTGTTGGTCAAACATAGCAGACACACGCCTGCCTCCCGCCTTCGCTTTGGTGGTCATCTATCCCAGGCACCCACTTCGGGCCGCCGGGGAGCTCACTCCCTCATCTCCGGCAGGGTCTTCACACAGGTGCCCCTGCCACTCGGTTCAAAGTGACAACCGCTCCCTCTCTATCTCGTAACACAGCTTAGTCTGTTCACAGTTTCTCTGATGGTTTTAAACACAATAATCAAATTCATAGTCCCTCTTCCCCTGCCCCCAACCTACCACGGAATGTGAGCTCCAGGAAGGCAGGAATCTTGTTTTGCTGCTGACGTATCTCAGTCACCTACACTAGTGCACAACACATGGCAGGTGCCGGACAAAGTATTTGTTAATGGTTCTTGCTGAAGGCATTATTTTTCACAGTTTTAAAAAATTACGGTCTGTTTCAAGTACGCATGAATAACTAGAGAGAGAACAGTATGTCCCACTCCAACATATCCAACTCTGACAACCGTCAGTCATGAACAACCTTTTGTCATCTACACCCCCTTCCAATTGTACCTCGGATGATTTTGTTTTATTTTCTTAAGATTTTGTTTGTTTATTTATTTATCAGAGAGAGAGAGAGATCGCAAGCAGGGAAGTGGCACGCAGAGAGAGAGGGAGAAGCAGGCTCCCCACTGATCAAGAAGCCGGATGCAGGACTTGATCTCAGGACTCTGGGATCAGGACCTGAGCCAAAGGCGGACACTTAACTGACTGAGCCATCTAGGCGCCCCACCCTGGGGGTTTTGAAGTGAATGCCAAACGTCCTATCATTTCATCAGCAAATATTTCAGTGTGTATCTCAAAAAGCAAAAACTCCTATTTTATTTTAACAGCTTTATTGAGATATTACTGACATAAAACTTGAGTGTGTAAAAGCTACACAATTTGATATTTTGATGTACAGTGAATGATTGCCACAACCCAGGTACTTAGCATAGCTACTGCTTTTACATGTCCACCGTGAGTGTGTGTGTGTGTGTGTGTGTGATGAGAAGATTTAAAATCTATCCTCTTAGCAATTTCAAGTATACATTAGATCTCTAGAACTTACTAACTCTGAATAACTGAAACTTTGTACACTTTGACCAATATTTTCCCATTTCCCCCTCCCCCATCCCCTGGCAACCACCACCCTACTCTGTTTCTAGGACAAAACTCTTCTTTTATAATAAAATCTCAATACCGTTGTCATAGCCGAGAGCAGTCAACAGTAATTTCTTTGTATCATTAATTATCTAGTCAGCGTTTGTATTCCTAGTTGTTTTATATATTTTTAAAGTTTATTTGTTTGAATTAGGATCCAAATAAAATCCACTCTGTGATCAGTTAGCGTGTCTCCTAAGACTCTTTTTAAACTGTAGATTCTTTTTACGTCATTGTGCAATTTGTTGTTGCTGAAGGAACGGGGTCATTTGGTCTCTTAAGTTTCCCACAGTCTGGACTTTGCTAATTGCATTCCCTTGGTGGCATTTAGTAAGTTCCCCTGTCCTCTGTATTTCCTGTCCATTGATGGTTGGCTCCCGAAGCTTCACAGGCCTGGACTGCTGCTCCAGGAGCCCCACTGTGTATGCAGAACCGTGTTTAGGAAGCAGCTCAGATCCGACTGTCTCTTTTCCTGAAGTTAATGTCTTCTCATTACTAATGTCGAAATTCATTCTTTCCTTGGGGGCTACAAAATCACGATCATCCAATTCTACCTTCCTTCCTCACCAGGTTAGAACAAGGAGTTTCGCCACATTAGCAGAGATGTGTTATGTGTAGAACTTCTCGGGGTTTGTACTTGTGTCCAAACCAGATCCACTCACTCTAGGTGGTGCAGCCACTACCCATGCTGTTGGAGGAGTGAGCTGGGCATGGGGGAGGGAGAGGTGACAACTTCAGGGTTGTTCACAGGCTGAGGTGGCTTTGTTCGTTCTCAGGGTGTCCTCAATGAGGCCAGAGCTGGGGGCAGTGTAGCACCGTCCTCAGTGTCTTGTTGGTGGAAGTCAAAGAATGGGTACTGCTTGACATACTTGCCTTCTGTTGAAAAGTGGTTGTGTAGATGGATGGACGGATGGACATGACTGTGGACAACTATCATCACACACAAGGTGGTTATAATTGAGAGATTGTTTAAGGAGAGAGTATATAAAAAAGTCATTGTCACCACATTCAGACTTTAATCTTTACAACTTAACAGAAGAATAGCAGAGTCTTTGGGTTTAGTATTTTTCCATTCAGAAACTCAATTTTATTTATTTTATTCTTTTCCCCTTGGAGACAGAGCTTCCATAACATTTCCCTTTAAAGGGGTTATTTATTTTATTTTTTTAAAGATTTTATTTATTTATTTGACAGACAGAGATCACAAGTAGGCAGAGAGGCAGGCAGAGAGAGGAAGGGAAGCAGGCTCCCGCTGAGCAGAGAGCCCGACTCGGGGCTCGATCCCAGGACCCTGGGATCATGACCTGAGCTGAAGGCAGAGGCTTTAACCCACTGAGCCACCCAGGAGCCCCAAAAGGGGCTATTTAAATTCCCAAGGCCATGAATGCATCCTTGATGGGCAAAACAGCTTCTGACTTGGCTGCAGCCCCCTCTGTCTTCCGAGCCCTTGATCTGGCAAATGCAGAGTAGAGACCGGCCATAATGTTCCCTGGCTCCCCGTTCAATGGTAACAGCTTGATAGCTTTGGGGAATAATTGGCAGATTCACCGCTAACTAATCCAGGGGGAGGCAGAGAGAAAGAGAGAGATTTAAGGCTCTACTGATGAGTGAGAGGCAAAATTATCTAGTCAATCTCTGCCTAGTGACAGCCCTGCTCACCTGTCCAGAGGGCGTGGCTTTCCTGGTCCTGGGGAAGCCGGCTGACTACCGTGTGCCACAGGGTGGCCACCGTGGGAATGGTCTCAGTCCCTGCTGTGGCCAGGCACCGGGCCAGGTGCTCCATAAGCATCAGGAAGCCACACAGCCTGGTGGGTAAAAATCTAACCTTCGCATATGATGAACTGGATTCAAATTCTCATTGTTGGTTGGGTTGGGCATTTAATCTCCCTGAGCCTTGATGTTCTCATCTGCAGAATAGGGGAAGTGATCCCTACATCATGATGCCTTTGAAATAGTCAAATGAGAAAATGCAAGTGAAACACCTAATGTGAATTCAATCAATAGTAGTTGTTTCTGTCATTGTCTCTTGTCCTGAGCTGCGCTTTTTAAACTGCGATGCTCAGCCACCCATCAGGGGATTCTGATGGTGTTTTAGAGGATGGCTATATACATTTGCAGGATAAAGCTCTTCTTAAAACATTTTTTTTAAATTATGTCCAGGGAAATTTTCAGTGATTAAAAAGACATGATACATGATGGACTAGAATGTACACGTCATGTATACTTTTTAATGACGGCATGGGTTTCAAGATTATTTCATCGTTTATGCAGTAGCGGCATTAAACCGCTCCCCGCAACCTTCTAGAATTGCCCATGCGTTCCTGCCTGCCTACTGCTCCCCCCAAGAGCTTGAATGATGGTCTTACCACAGTTGTCCCCATTCTGCAGATGAAGGAGGAGTCTCAGACCTTCAATGACTTGGCAGCCGGGAGTCCAAACTTCACTGTAAAGTCCGTGCCCTTCCCCATGCCTGCCATTATATCAGAGCTAAGAAGAGAATAACTATATGATATGAAGTGTGTCTTTCAGGGTTTCCCAGAGAATCAGAACCAATAGGGTAGACATAGGTAGAAGGAGATTTTCTGTGAGAAGCCGGCTCACACAGTTATGGAGGCTGAGAAGTTCTATGACCTGCAAGCTGGAGGCCCCGGGAAGCCAGTGGTGGAGTCCCAGTCTGTGTCTGAAGGTCTGAGAGCCCGGAGCACTGATGACTGAGGGCAGGGGGAGATGGATGACGAAGCTCAGGCCGAGAGCAAATTTGCCCTCCCTCCGTCTTTTTCTTCTATTCAGACCCTCAGTGAATGTGATGATAACCCATGCACACTGGTGAGGGCCATCTCCATCGTTACCAACTCAGACGCTAACGTCTTCCTAAAACAACTTCACAGACACACCGAGAAACAATGTTTTGTTGATTGTCTGGGCATCTCTTAGCCTAGTCAAGTTGACACGTAAAATTAACCCTCACAGGAAGCATTCCGACCAAGGCCCACCCGCCTCTGGACAGGGCCACTTGGCTTAGGTCCCAGCGGCTGCTGCCTCAGCGACACTTAGCACTGTCTCCACATCTGAAAAGCCTGGGCTGCAGTTGCTGGGGTCTCCGCATCTAAGCTGGCCACGTTCCTCCCTCACGTCCTCTGTGGTGCCTGCTGTAGCGGGGAGCGCCTCAGTGCTAGAGAAGCCCAGACCCACGGAGGCTGCGGAGGCCAGGTGACACCCTCGGAAAACAGAGAGTTCGAGCCCAGTGAGAGATGGAGCAGAGTTAGGGATTTATCTAATAGCCCATAAACCATATTGCCACAAGTGTGGCACAGGAGGGACACACAAATCAAGAGGGGCTAGAAACCAGAGACCTGAGGAAGAGGGCTTAGACAGAAAAGGGAGAAAAAACTATTCCAGGCAGAGGGAAGAGCATGTGCAAAAGCCCTGTGGTGGAAGGGAGCCTGATGTGTACAGGGAACTGATAAAAAGGCAGAGCGGCTGGAATGCAGCAGCAAGGGGCCATGTGGTGAGAGATGAGGCTGGGGCCTGGCCTTGTAAGGCCTTGGGCCCTGGTAAGGATTGTGTTCTTCATCGTAAGATGTGAAAACATTGATGGAAGTGGAGAGCAGGTAAGAAACTTTGCTTCTTTGAGTGATTTTTGGAGTAGGGTGAAGTCCGAAGGGATGGAAGGAGTAAATGGTTTATGAAGATGTTCAGAAGGGCAATGGACAGCACCTGGTGATCAGCCAGATAGGCAAAGAAAAGGAGAGAGCATTGCCAAGAGGGATTTGTAGGGTTCTGTTGTATGCAGCTCAATAGAGGAAATTGCCTTGTGCAGAGAGGAGAATGTCCAAAAAGAATCCGTGGTTGGGGGGCGGGGACCCATGAGTAACAGGGAAAAGACAGCTGAGTTGGAATGCCTCCAGAGTGGCGAGAGGAGAGGCAGTATGGACAAGCTTGGATTCAGACCCGGATTCTGGAAAAGGGGTCTGTGCTGGAAGCAGGAGCCTGTGAGTCACGGCTGTGAAGGCGGTGGTTGGAGCTGGGGGTGGATGAGATCGCTGCCTGACATTTCAGGGAGCAGTCAGTGAATGGAGAAGTGCTATTAAGCTTTGTAAAATACTTAAAAATAGCTTCCGTTCAACCACCTCTCCTGCCCCCCATCCCATCAAGAACTGAAGAGATTTTAGAAAGCCAGGTCTGAAACCAATAACCTGTTGGGTTTTCCAACTGACTTTGGTAGTGGGATTTTCTAGCCATACGAATAAACCCAATAAATGATAAAGTGTGCCAAGTAAAAACAGAGCAGGTCTAGTTAATGCAGGGTCGCAAAGGGCGGGTTCTCTACTGCTCAGGCTTCTCCTCACTCACAGTTATCTCTGGGACTCTCAGGGTGTCAAGGAAATCAGCATGCGACCTGCAGGCCTGAATGATTTCCTGTTTGCCTCCACCTCTGAGGGGTTCCGAGTCTTTGTTGGTCTGACGGGAGTGTGCCGACCGTCATCAGTCTGTCCAAGATGGCCCCAAAAGGACCCCGGGATCTTGGCGGAACTCTGGGTCATCTCAGCAAACCTCAGGCATCCGTAGCCCTGACCTTCAGATACTTTGAAGACTTCCAGCCAAAAGAAGTCCAAACAGGCCAGCTTTTACCCAGGATGCAGTTGAAAAACCCAGCTTTCTTCAGTTGAGAATCTTTTTGACAGTGAAGGCCTGCTGGGTTTGCTGAGTGGCGCCCTCATTAAAAAAAAATGCAATTGAACTGTCAGTGGAACTAAGGGCATGTGTTGGATACTGCTCAGTGGCATTGATTCTGCTGCGACAAAGAAGTGGAGGGTGCCAGGAGAAGCCCGTGGGTCTGGGAAGAAGAGGGAAGGGTGGCATTTGGGGAGTTTGCTAGTGCTAAATTGCTCCATCTGTTGCATTAATAACCAGTCAGTACAGGGGGCTGGGAAAATGGGTAATTAAAGCATACGGTACCTATTAGGACCTATCTGCACATATGTAACTGCTCATTTCATCTGTACAAACGGCTGCTTACTTATGCAAATGACAGGTCTGAATGCCCATGGTGGGGAATTCTGCTAGGAATGCATTTCCCATGGAAAGGCTGGAGTCAAACCCCGAAAACGCTGAAAAGTCTAGGACTGGCGATGCCATCCATGCAATAAAGAAAAAGGATACAAGCAAGGCGGAAAGAGTAAAGTCCTGTTGGAAGGATGAGGTGTCCGAGGCTATGCTTTCCCCAAAGGGGTTGGGGAGCCCCGCCCTCAAAGCAAAGATTGCAGCACTCAAAGCAAAGTCCACCACGGGCCTGGGGCTCCAAAATTTGGGAGTGGTTGAGCGAGATCGCCCAGTGTGGTTTGTGGGAGAGACACAGGTATTAGGAATGGCACCATAACTAGTCACGGGACCCTCGACATAACCTTGGGCTCCTTATTGCTGAGGCTGCCATGCAGAAGACTGACCTAGAGAACCAAATGTGTCTTCATGATCTGGGGGAAACTCATGGGGAATTACTTGTGATACTTTCTGTCTTCATTCACCTGCTTTCCTGCCTGCTGTATTTCAGCCTATAATCCCTAGAAACCACAGTCAGCTCTGTCACTGGTTTCTACAAGTGGTCCACATTTCGTGGCTTTGGACGCTGTACCAGAGTGGGGAGATGCGGGGACTGTCGAGCAGGAGGTGTGACCGCATATGGCTTTGCTCTTTCAGCCATCTCCTCACTCCCTTCCCTCCACTTTCCTTCTTATTCTATCACTTTGATACCCTCCCAGACACAAACAATACCCTCTCCTCTGTCCTGCCCAAGCTCAAAGGCTTTGCATTCTCTGCTGTGACCTCAAATACTTATCAATCCATTTTTCCCACTAAGACAATGATCTCTTTCTAAGAGGAGTTTTGGTAAATGCAATTTTCTCTAATTTGTTACATAAAAATGGACCCTGATTCAAAATCCAATATAAATTTCTCTGTATAACTCTGACCATTCCTCTATTTCTGTTGCTGGAAAGAAAAGTGGGTTTGGCTAAGCACTATCAGATCTTGGACAGGAGGTGACTTAGGATACTTTGGGCTCCCATTCAAATTAAATGATAAAGCAATTTATATCTCACCTCATAAGAACTCTGGAAGTGAGGTAGCTTTCTTGGGTTTGGCTGATTCGGTAGCTCAGTTATCTAATTAAAGACCCATATTTTTCTGTCCTCCACTCTGTCACTTTCGGTAAGTGAAATTTGTTCTTACATTGGTTCTCCAAATGCCCATTAAATGGTAAAACACTTCCAGGCATGACGAGTCACAACCTTGTTCAGAGAAGAAAGGAGGCCATGGCTTCTTCGTGTCTCTTTGGAAGAGCAAGGAAACCATTTTTGCAAATTTCTATAGGAAATACTCCTTCCTGTCCCAGCGGACCAGTAATCTGCCATATGCTCATGACCAGCATTCACTGGTGTGGTAACCTGACTCAACCTGACCTGCCTCCAGAACCCAGTCTCCACAGCTTAAAGTACAGCGGTTGCCTCCCGAAAGCCCACGACCTGGCATGGGGGAGGGGAGTCCCTAAAGCAAATCTGGGCTCTGTTGAGAAGGAAAGAAAGGAGGAAATAAACATTGAATAGACAACCAATTTTTTTGTCTGCTCTAGGAAAGGTAATTTAGTGCAAAACAGAAGGAAGTTGCCATAGGGCTGTGGGCAATGCTGTTTCTATGGTTCTGGAAACTACTATAGGCTCTTGCATAGGCACAGATGAAGGTACTGAATTGAACTTCTTTCTCTCTGGACTGTGAATGCTGGGCTTTGAGCAAATCTTTGACCTTATCTTACCTGCCGGACAAGCCCAGTACCTCCTTGATTTTGTTCTTTTCGATTACCTGCCCTATAGCTTCATCAAGGACCACCCACCCCTACCTCAACCTTGAACATGATGGATCCCATAGAGCTCATGGATTCTGATACATCAACTGCATTTACCAAAATGGGCATCGCCATGATGGGTTACAGAATCAAAGCCAGGAATGGTATGCCAAAACACAACCCTACCCCAAAGACATCCAAGACCTGATCCCTAAAACTTTACATTGTATGACAAAAGAAGTGATAGGATTAAGGATCTTGAGCTGGGGACATGATCCTGGATTATCCAAGTGGGCTTTAAATACAATGGAATATTTCCTTATAAAAGAGCAGCAGAGGGAGATTTGAGGCCAAAGAGGAGAAGATGATGTGACCATGAAGTAGGATTTGAAGACGCTTGCCTAGAAGACTGGGACAAGCAGCCGGAAGCCAAGAAAGGCATCAGCCTTCTGTAGCTGAAAGAAGCAAAAACCAGATTCTCCCTTAGAGTCCCCAGAGGAAGTGCAAACCCGTTGACATTTTGATTTTATCTCAATGAAACTCATGTTGGACTTTGGGACTGCAGAAGCGTGGGAGACTAACTTTCTACCAAGTTTGTCGTCATTTGT